AGCCCGGGGGGGGGGGTCCTGCTGCCCCCCACCGGGCTCCGCTTGCAGCCTCCCCCACCCCCTTTGCACCTCTGCCTGAGAGTCCCATCCCCGGGGTAAGGCACCAGGGCAGCCCCCGCAGGGGTCCCCGGTGTCCGGATCGTGTCGGGGGTGACTGGTTGCACAGCCCTGCAACAGGCAACTAAAGAGGAGCAGCGTGGAAGGGGTGTGTGTGTGGGGGGGGGTGTTCGGTGGGTGCCCCCCTGCGGGGTACCCTCAACAGCGCTGTAAAATCGCCCCCTTCCTAGGAAAGCAAAGAGCGGCCCGATCCAGCCAGCGCACCCATCGGATGCCCAGAGACACCCCCTTTCAAGAAAGATATGGAGAAATTGGAAAGGGTACAGAGAAGAGCGACAAGAATGATTAAAGGTCTAGAGAACATGACCTATGAAGCCAGGCTTCATGAACTGGGCTTGTTTAGTTTGGAAAAAAGAAGATTAAGGGGGGACATGATAGCGGTTTTCAAATATCTAAAAGGGTGTCACAAGGAGGAAGGAGAAAATTTGTTCCTCTTGGTTTCTGAGGACAGGACAAGGAGTAATGGGCTTAAAGTGCAGCAGGGGAGGTTTAGATTGGACATTAGGAAAAAATTCCTAACTGTCAGGGTGGTCAAATATTGGAATAAATTGCCAAGGGAGGTGGTGGAATCTCCCTCTCTGGAGATATTTAAGAACAGGTTAGATAGACATCTGTCAGGGATGGTGTAGACGGAGCTTGATCCTGCCTTGAGGGCGGGGGGCTGGACTTGATGACCTCTCGAGGTCCCTTCCAGTCCTATTATTCTATGATTCTATGATTAGCTCCGGGGAGCTTTCTGCGGTGCCTCAGTTCCCCCGCCCCGCCTAGGCAGCGCATGGTGGGATCATCCAAACCCCGCCGCTCACATGCCTGCCGTGCTCACTAGGGGGCGCCACGCGAGCCCCCCTCAACCCCCACTGCAATTTGAAAGTTGTGGGGGTCCCCCACCCCGCCCCTTCTGCGTCTTTGCTTGGTTAAATTGCTGTCCCCCCCCCCCAACTCCACCCAGATGCCGGGTGGAGACAGCTGCTCCCACAGAGAGAAGAAAGATGAAATTCGTTCCATGATGCTGTGAGGGGGCTGCTTTAACATGTGCCCAGTCAAATGCAAATGGAAACCATCTGAACCTTACCCGCTCATATGTTGTTCACATTTGTTTTAAATGCCCCTTAGAACAGTGTGTCCCTGTCTCCCCCACATACACACACACTTCATGGAAATAGCAGGGGCGGGGGAGTTTTTGTTTGTTTTGATTTGCGTTGGGGGGGTTAATTCCAACTCTTATATCCTAGGGTTCCCAATCGTTTCATGATTAAAGGGTTGCGGTATTTTCAATCTAATTTGTAAGCTCTCTTCCAGGATGTGTGGAACTCAGTTCAGCATAAACTGAGACTCAACGCGCCAGGGGTTCGCTCAGAAGCAAATCGCTTTCTCTGTGCAAAACTTTTAGACAACTTTTTCTAGCGGCGTCCGAGCGGCATAAAACTGGCAGTGAAGGCCTGGCATTATTTAGGTGAGTGTCTGGGGCGCTCACAATGAGTGAAAGGGGCTTTGAATTCTTGTCCCTGAGACAGTGAGATATCCTTCAGAACTCTCCAAATTACCAAGAGAAATTATATATCTACAGGACACCAGCGCTGGCCCAGCTGCAGTGTTGCAACTATATCCCTGTAGCGCCAAAGTGTAGCTGCTTTCTATATCAAGGGAGCAGTTTTCCATCTCCAGGGCTAATTCACCTCTTGGAGAGGTAGTAACTAAATCCACACAGAATAGTAATAGAAATGTAGCCGTGTTAGTCTGGTGTAGCTGAAGTAAAATGCAGGACTATGTAGCACTTTAAAGACTAACAAGACTAACAAATTTGATCTGAGGAAGTGGGTCTGGCCCACGAAAGCTCATCGTCTAATAAACCATCTTGTTAGTCTTTAAAGTGCTACATAGTCCTGCATTTTAAATCCACACAAGCTTTCTTCCTTCAGCGTAGTCACATCTACCCAGGGTCAACTCTGTTACAACAGCCCTGAGCAACATCTACAATTTTAAATGTAGCTCTGGCCCAACAAATTCCACGACAGGCCAAGAACCAGGCATCCCAACTGAAGGGCAGAAGGCCCAGTTCTAGCGAAGGCAGCGGTGCTCCGCAGTTCACAGGATCGGCCCCCTTGCACACTGCATGACACAGACGGAAAAAGATAACAGCCCAAACGTGTCCCTGATGCCTCTCCAGTCCCTCTACCGCAGTTTCTTTACGAGGCAGGCATCCCGCCAAAGGGTCCAGCTGCCAACAGCTTTCCTCGGCTTGCACGTTATTTTGTTGGACATCTTGGTCAAAGAACCTCGTTCAGTCCCTTAATGCAAAACTGGGATGAGCTTTGTCCTGGGCACGTCTCTGCTGCAGGGCAAGAGTCGAATGAAGCGATGCAACTTCAGCGACGTCAGTTGCACAGCTGAAGTCGAAAGAGCTTAATGCGGCTTTTGACTCTGTCTCCACAGCAAGAAGTTGAAGGAAGAGCGAAGGCTCTGCCTTCCATTGCCCTTCCACCTCGTGAAACGAGGGGGACAGCAGTCGAAGGAAAGAGTCCGCCAGCTTGAAATCATTTTGGAGATGCGCCCTTTGTTATTTCGAAATCACGCTGCAGGGTAGACGTGCCCTATCTTCCCTCCCGAGGAATTGGAGCGCAGTAGTGTTACTGTTCCCAAAACACCCTTAAAGCCCTCGCCTGCTGCCAGGCCACGCACAGAACTGCCCCCAAAGCCAGCCAGAGGCTGGTGTGCAAAGGCAAGTCAGGAGATGGGCCACATAGGGATAGCTGTTACCAGGGTTTAGGGGACCCAACGCAGTACTATTAAACTGGAGTCCTTATGCCCAACTGCAGCCGGGGTGGGTGGGGGGACACGTTTGTAGGCATGTGATTTTATATGCGCCGTGGGGCGGACTCTCCCGTGGATTCATTGTGCCAAGTGAGTGTAAAACACGCTGAGCCAGATTCTCAGCTGGTGCCCTAACTCCATCAGCGGAGGAACTCGCCCTGCCTTTGTGATTGATAGCGTGCGATCCCCCCTCGGCTCTGGTGCAATTGACAAGGAGCAGGGGTGTGGAGAAGGAGAGGTAGGGTAGGTGATGGGATGGAATAAGTGGGAGGAGACCAGATCCCCACAGAGGATAACCCAGCCGGTGTCTGGCTGAAAAGGCAGCTCCTTTTTGTGAAGCATCTTGCATTAAGTAAGCACACGACAGGACTTGTTTTATTCCTCTGTCTGGATCCATCTCTCCCTTTGGTTATTACTTACACTCATTTAATCTCATAAACTCAGAGCTCCTCCCAAGAGCCGCACAGGGACAGTCATAATCTTAATGCACAGTCTTTTACAGTAGCCCTAGTGCCTGGGGGAAATGAACAGTGCCGGCTTTTGAACTCTGCTTCCAAATGCATTTCTAACTATTAGCCAAGTGAAAAGCTCAGCCATACAGATGTTAGGTCTCATATCGCTGCCGTGCCACTTACCTGATCTGTCGAAATCCGTCATTTGTCAAGAACGGGGGATGCTTCCTTTAAATGGCACCATGATTTCTTACTGTTGGAACAAATAAAAGCACGGTTATGCACTCCCATTCTCGTGATGCAGGGTTTACTGGAGTCAGATCTTCATCATTCAGGGCTTATTCTTGGATTCCTTGTGCAGCCAGACTATCTGGGTGGGGTAGCAGAAGTCCAGGATCAGGCCCAGTTTTTACACACCTTTGTAGCAAATATTTAGCATGATACCACACTACAGTACAGGTAGGGGTCGGTGGGGAATGGCGGGAAAGAAGGGATGGGAACTATTGCAGGACTGCGTCTGTGCTTTGAGAGAGTACTTTTTTTCCTAGACAACACAAGTCCTGGGGGACAAATTTTCACTTGCGGGGTTTGCGTGCAGATACCGTGCGCTTGATGCGCCTCTCATTTACACTCATCTAATCTGGGAGTGACCCCACTAAAGTCAGTGAAGTGGAGGAAAGTCGGGGCCAGTATGATCTTGGATTATGCCAAAGAGCTGTTGTAAAATAGGCAGGAAAATAAACGTGTTGATTCCAAAGATCTCCAAGGCGGGACCCCTAACTCAGGACTGGTTCTCAGCCCCCACACAATATGGTCGGCTGGATGCGATATTCCTTCCAAAGTAAGGCACGTGGCTGAGATTTTCAGAGGAGCCCAAGGAATCTCACTGACTTCTCACGAGCGGCGAACATCCGTCTTCCTTAAACGCTTGGAAATCGCTCCGTAGCCATCCCCAAGCAGTGTGTTGTACCCTATAGCCCTCAAGGCTCGTCTGCATGGGGAAACAGCCCGGAATAGCTCTGCACTAGCTCTCCATGCGGATGCTCTGTCCCCACACTGCACTGGGGCAAGGCTGCATTATGACTTTCGTGGGCCCCTTCCTCCATAAAAAAAATATTAAACGTTATTTTCGATCTAACTTTCAATATTTCACCATTTTATTTTTTTTCTGTTTTAGGCAAAATTTAATAGAATTTCATGGGCCCTAAACGTTTCATTTTTTTCTGATGTGAGAAAAAAATGAAAACGTTTTCTTCGACCCTAAAAGTTCATTTTTTTCTTCTGATTTGAAAAGAAATTAAAACATTTACGTGGGCCCCTAAAAGTATCGTGGGCCCTAGGCACTGTGCCTAATGGATAAGTTGGCCCTGCACTGGGGTAGTTTAGCTTAATCCACTTTGAAAGCACTCCCAGTGGCGTGAGAACACAGGACATCCTAGTTTATTTCAGAGTTGCTCCCCTATGCAGCATGCCGTGCCCAGCACTTGTCCTGGAGCAAGGTGAGACCATATTCAGTGCTTGCCCCTCACCCTGTAGCACATTCAGACAGCTGTTGTACATCTACCACCAAATACAGCAGCGCCCTTCCACGGACAAACGTCTCAGTTCTCTAGAAATCCTATTGTGTGTAAAGCTCTCGCCACCCTGCATAATGAATCCTCATTTCATCCCTTGGAGGTAGGGCAGTGGTAGGGTCTGCTAACAGCGGTAGAGAGGTTATGTGACTCACCAAAGGCCTCAGAAAGAGTTCAGTGTCAGAGACTTCAGGAATGGCTGGCGCCCTGGTCTGTGCTCCGCCCACTACACCATACCATTCTTTGCCAAACTGCATGCGTGTTTAAGGCAAACCTTTGACTGAAAAATGGGGGGTCCAGATCCTGTAGGAGTCCAAACACCCTCAACCTCAAGCCAGCGAGAGGGCAATTCTTAGCTTTGCAGGGTCATTCCTTAGCTATGTAACAGAAGCGAAAACTCATACTCAGGTACCAACACGTGAAATAGGGTGTATTAATTCACACCTCACTGCGTTCATGGCACCCAGCTTTTAGCCTCACATCTAATGACGACACACTAGGTAGGAATAAATGCACCATAATTCAGGGTCTCTGTTATCGGACTGCTTCATAAGTTCTTAAGTGCAGTGCAGCCCTTTATAATTTTGCAGTGAAGTTAGTGGCTAAAATGTTTGCATTTTGACTCCTTTTTCTGGGTCCTATCTTAATTCAGGCAAGCTCCAATTGACACCAGTGCATCTGCGTAAGGACTGAGGATGAACTAATAAGCTGATATTCTGGATGACTGACCCACAATGCACCCCCTCCGACATTACAAGTGGGCTCCTGCTACATGGAAGAGTGCTTGTCTCAAGAGCAAGAAACTTTCAGGCATAATCACTTCCTATTTTTAACAAAGTTGAAATCTCTCTGCCAGCGCAGATCAGCAGAGCTGCTTCGCTTCCCGCCCCGCCACCCCCCACTAAAATGTAAATTATTACACACTCCAAATGCTTTCCCGGATCAGTTCTAAATTAAAAACCATTTTAAGTGTTAAGGGTAACATTTCTCCCTCACACCCTCATCCGCGTGTCACCCAGAGAGCAGGTTCTTATAGCCTGTGCTGCAGACATTCTAGGCACACAGCTCTGCTGATGTGAGTGGGTATTTGTAAAGCAGACATGAAATCCTAGGTCCCACTGGAGGATCAATGAAGGCTAATGTGTGATCCTGGATTCCTTGCACACCCAGTTCCCATGACATCCGAGTTTTGGGTGTGTAGCAAATGTAGGGCCCAGAGGAAGGAGTACAGGGACTTGTGGCTTTGAATGAAAACGATGCCCTGTAAATATATGAATGACTAACAGGGGAAACACAATAACACTCAGCACTAAGGCCCCGATTCAGGAAAACGATCCTTATTCAGGAAGGCGTGTACACAAGCACATGGGAGCGGCCAGACTGGAGTCACACCAATGGTCTGTATAGCCCAGTATCCTGTCTGCCAACAGCAGCCAATGCCAGGTGCTCCAGACAGAGGAGCCAAAGTGATGCGCTTTTGCACAAGAGCGCGTCCACACTGCATGGACGCTTTTGCGCAAGAAAGCTCTGATGGCCATTCACAGAATGACCATCAGAGCACCTGTGCTTTTTCGGATAGGCTCTTTTTGCGCAAGAAACTCCTGCGGAGCAGCCACACCTGCCTTTTTGTGCAAGAGCTGTAGCCCAAAAAAGAGTGATTCTTTGTGGGGAGAGAAATAACTCTACCGGCAAAAGCCCTCTGTCCTGTCGATTTACTGTATTTTTTTGCACAAAAATGCGCTTGAGGTGTGGACACTCCACCGGTTTTTGTGCAAAAATGGCTGTTTTTGCCCAAAAACCTTGTAGTGTAGACATGGCCAGTGAGAGAGAGTGTATATGGAAAGAAAGAAAGAAAGAAAGAAAGAAAGAAAGAAAGAAAGACGAATGTATGGAGATAGAGAGAGAGAGAGAGAAAGCAAATTCTTAAAACCTACTTGCAATAATGTTTCTATAAAATCAGGATTAAGCCAGTAATCATTCCATACAATACCTCTCCTAGACTTTAGTGCTTCTTTTTTAAGATACCAAACGGTTCCTTTTTTAAGGGAACGCTTTTCCAATTGGAATTCCCGAAAAACTTTTAAAGGAGTCTTTTAAGTTAAGGACATAGAGGAGCCAACGAAGGTGGCTCAGGAAAAGAGAAAGCCCACAACTCTGTTCCCTGCTGTACACCAGATTTTGATCTCATTGACATGGCGTAAATCCACAGAAGCTCCACTGAAGTCAAGGCAACTTAAAGCAAGTAAAATTGAGATAAGAACTTGGCCCATGCCTTTAGCCTGTCAGCTCACCTACTGCCCGGCGCGGTGGGTACCTCTGGTCCAAAGTCTACAGTCACTACTCAGGCATAACTCACAGGAGGTAAATGTTTTGCCAGGCTATGACAAACACTGAATGAGGACCTTAGGACGGGCCTCTTATAATTAAATACTACAGCAATAACTCACAGCAGTTTAACTTTCTCTAACATAAAGCAAATGCATGAACAACAGTAACATCTTTTATTATTTAGCCAGGTTTATTTTTGATTGTTATGTATACTTGCATATTATTTGTATAACACTTATTATATGCTGATAGTTGCTGTATAAAAATCAGACCTAGGGACTTACAAAACATGGCTCTCTCTATTGCACCTGGATCAATCAAAAGTTACTCCATTAACTTCAATGGAATTACACCAGTGCAAAGTTGGCATAAATCAGGAAAGCTGGCATATATTGTGTTTTTCTGTAGATTCATGTAGTAAAATGACTCCCTAAGGAACATATT